TAGGCTAAATATAAGAAATCTGTACCCATTTTTCAAAAATTGGTCTCATTTTATGCATAAATTGCATAATTTGGACCCATTTTTAAATATGTGGGCCCATTAGAAAAATTGTGTGGGACCGTCCCAACTGTCCCAATAGCTGGCTACAGCATTGGACGAGAGTGAGTGGGGGTCATTAGTGTACCAACTTTCACACATAACCTGCATTTGCCAACAGGTCACATGACTCGGTCTCAGACTTCGCTGAGTACTGTATGCCCATTACCAGAAACGCTCTCAAGTATATTGTGTTGCATTTGCGTACAATTTTGTGTAGGCTGATTTAAGTGTTGAATTCTATATTATTATAAGTGTTGAGTTTATTGCTATTCGGAACACTATGCTACCTAACCCCCAATCCCACCAGTGACACATGCATGTCTTTCTATTCTATGTTTTAAATCATCAAAGGTACATATACAGTGTTTAAATAAGAACATAATAGAACATCGTAGGCTACCCTGTAGCTTTTCAACGAATACAGTCCTATGTTTAGTTAAGCAATAAGCATAAGTAAAGGTTCGACTTCCAAAAGACGAATCGGTATGCCTCCGTTTTTTTCGAAAATCTAAAAACATGTACAATAGGTGAAATCTTGTGATGAGGTCAAATTAGAATAAATAATAGCTACAAAAAGGCATGTTTATTATTCCACCATGTTCGAGAGTGTATAATGAGTTTATCATCGTACATTTTATTGGGCAATAATGGTTTTAGTTTCCCGCGTATTTCCTTTTACAGGGTATCGGGTACGCAAAATGTCGATTGTGTCTATATCCGTTCTGTCTGTCAATGTAAACTATAAAAATATTGACAATTTTCGAATGTCACAACCTTTCGAAGTACTGCGGGTATTTTGTTTTGTTAATAGGTCTATTAAGCTCATTTCTTCCACATCGATGTCAGCAAATGGGCCTTAGGCCAATATAAACCTTATGTACATTCATTTCACACGTAAACCAGGGCCTAAAAACCAGACCAGTGTAAAATCTTAGATGTAAAAATGATTTGACAGACACTGTAATTAAGGCTATGGAAATCTTATTTATTGATGCATCTCCTTACTATTGGATCATAAGTTTTCAAAGAAATGGATGTACTGTAGGTCCTGTTCGTGTCGTAGGACTAATGGGTGTGTATCATTACAGGCTAGCTCACCCAGTGTGTAGATACCGTACATTTAGTAAAAAAAGTCGATTCGTTAGTGGGAACAAAGTGGCATGAGTGACAGTATTTCATCGCCTCTTGCGGCTTTTGGCTCACATGGGTTCAGGGCATCGGTTTGAAGGTGTACATTTCTGTCTGTAAGACTTCTACCTAAATCAACTAAACTTGAAAATAAATTTGTATGTTAGCCTATTAAATATATTTCTTGCTGTCAACTAAAAATTAAAAAGAAAAACAATTCCTTGCCAATTAATGAACGTTTAACCATTAGTGTGGCATGTTTATTTTGGTACATTTGTATTTATTGTTTAGTTAAACAAGTTTAATGTCTATTATTTATCGATTGTGAACTAACTAACTTGCCCTGTAGGATAGACTGAGGTTGATTTATAAAATTTAATTTATAAAAAAACATGCCAAAATACGCGTACTGGCTAATGATTTATAATGGCGATGGTAATAATATAGACTAGTTGATCCAATTAAAGACCACTTTTGGGACCGTGGCTGTCACTTTCTTAAGTTCCGTAACTTTAGACTCTAATTTCATGGACTCTGAAACTATCAAATAGGTAAAAGATCTGTTCATCTGGGGCCGTGGAAAAGTGGTCCTAATTAATTTGAGGTATAATTCTTTAATTTAAGGGGTTTTGCAAAATAGAGACCAATATTAGCTACGATGACGTAACTTCAACGTCGAAGTAGCAACATGTTGTTCCCATGTTGTTGGTGTACAGTTCTGCTTCCTGTACGGTACATTATTGTTTATATTGCATGAGAAGTCGCAGACTAATCTTCTTCATACCATAAACAAAACATTATGAGTAATGTAGTGAGTATTGCAATCGTAATCATTATGGAAGTTAGCAAAGCGACTCGTTTCTGATACAATATCTAACGGAAATTAAGTCGGCTGTTTTTGTTGGGTACGAACCAATTTAGATAGTTTTCGAAACCACTTGAAATGTCTATGGCGAAAGGAAACATCAATAAATAAAACGAACATCGTTATAATTTTAGAATTTATTGACATACGGTAAGCATGAAATGGATAGGTGTCATGTAAAAAATACAAGAACGGGGATCTTGATATGGAATGGTGACGACAATGTGTCCCTAATTGATGGTGTCGCAGGGTTGGGTCAGGGTTGAGAAGGATAAAGGGTGAGCGATATGAACAATGATGATATCTGAGATGATGTCAACGATTTGCAATAATGACAAGTGATGTTTATGAACAACGTCACGGTAATCGGCGTAAAAAACGACTAAACAACATGGAGGTGTAAACTATATATACGTTAAAAAAAGAATAGAGGATTGTCTGCTGGTGTATGCATGCAGCTGATCTTCTTCACCACTAAACGATATGGGACCCAAGGGAAAGTGGTGAATTCCGTTGAATAGGCCACCCAGAATAATAAGGAATAAGCCTATGACTAAAGTTACGGTGATACGATACCCATATCATATTCTGACTAGTAACTTTTGACTGTTTATTTTAGTCTATCGATCTAATTTAAAAATTCATTATCATCGTCACCATCAGCATCATAACAGAGTCATCATCATCATCATCATCACCACCACCACAGGAGTGGCACCAGGATTTGCCTGGGGAGGGAAGGGGATATCCCCAATGGATGATGTCTACAAAACTTTTTCGGAAGGGGTCCAGGGGAGAATACCCGTAAACTATGAGAATTGAGGGGGTTAAATGGCTTATTTAATCGATTTTGAAGTCACCTAATATGTAATAAAATACATGGTCACTCCCCCCCCCCTCCCGACGAATTGTGGTATTACCCGACGGGATAGTGCCGCCCTTCGCTGGTGCCACCAGGAAGATTGGTTACAGTATATCTTGAAGCTCACAACCATGGCGACTCACCTATTGGCTATAAGGCTAAGATATGTTATAATGTGATTCATCTAAAACATTTTAGACCAAGTGGGTTAACAAAAAATTGTACAATAGTTGATTTCACAGTTTACTTGATCAACGGAGTATTTAGTTGCATGACATAAGGAAACTTTATTTTCAATATGAAATTTCACTTTGCTCACAAAGAATCATTAAAAATTATATAAATTCAGAGCCTATAGAGTTATGCATAAACAAATGTTAGTTAAATTATTTGATGGGCGGATTCAGCCCAGTGAGAAAGAGGGGACGTAAACGTGTGAGTTTTGGGAAAGAGCCCCAGGGGTGCAAGGGATGAGTCCCTCCCCCGTAAAAACCGGATAGCGATTTCAATAATTTTCATTAATTTGAGTTTGTATTTGATCAATTTTTACTATTTAGCATGGTAATTTTCTGATGAGCTTTACAAATTGTTTACGTCCCCCTCTCCTAAATCCCGCCACTGAAGATTAAACCGGAATATTTTGTACAAAAGAAAGTATCTCTTCATCGACGGCAAATCCATAAAATGGTGATGCGAAGTTGGTTATCAAACCCTCCATGAACTCAATGTGGTTACCAGGGTTTCTGTTTTGGTCTTCACTTTATTTCCATACTACTCAAAATACTGTAGTATTTGTCTTTTATTGTAATGATTTATATATATATATAAATATACAAAATAAATAAATAAAAAATATTAAACTTATATGTACATTCATCCATTATCATTCATGTGTTTTTCCCACGAGAATTGTAATTAAAGCTGACGGTTTATCGATGAAAACTGGTAATTAATCGCTTCTAATTTTTTTTTCATGAATACTTTCATGACTTCTACTACACTAGAGTTTATTTTGTAAGGGGAGGCCCGGCCCCGCCCATTAAATGTTCAAAATTTAACAAAAAGTTCGAAAAAAGAAGTCTTAAAAGTGCCATTTCCGGCCGTAATCATAAATTGTCTTACCTCACCCACACCATGGTGGGGCTGAGGTAGATAGACCGTCCATCTGTGAAAGTTTTTTCTCTGGGCCCCCTCTATTTCAAATTCATAGATCCGCCACTTTAAACTTTGATACCTAGGTCCTATGATATGAATCTTTTCGGCACGTTTGAATAAAATTAAGGATAGCTTTTACTTTTCATGTTTCTATACTTTATTTTTCATGACCTAGTGAAATTAGGCACTTTAATTAATTAAATTAGTCCTCTACTCCGTTAAAAGGCCGTAGCTTCCGGGGGGGGGGCGTGGAAGACCCCGACCGATTGGCCTGGGGTAACCCGGGCCCGCGGCCGCTCTCGGCGCTTCTGCCCATCGGCCACGACTCATCGGACTAAAATGAGCAGCTGTGTGCAAATATAATAAAATACTGTCGGAACACTTCTATATGACCCCCATCGAGGTGCGCCACTTCATTAAAGCCGCCCCACCCCCTTCCCCAAGTTTTTTAATTTAAAAATTTGTATCTCATTAACCGCTCCCGAGTTTTTCGTCAAACCCCTTTTTGTGTCTCACAAAAATCAGTTACCTTAATGGATACGTCAAATCTTATTAGAGGGTCCTATATAGTACCGTACCGGTAATATTAAATCTAAAACTTGTGTGAAAAATACAGAAAACCTGCATACAATACAACAACTTTAATTATAACATGATTGAACAACAAAATAGCATGGGTCCCTATTCTAATCCCCAAACTCTCCTCACCTAAAAACTTACCTTGATTGTGTCTTATTGTGACGTGTGAGTCATTCATTATTCCTTCTCGGTGCGAGGTGATAGCAAATCTGGTCTCGGCTAATATTCCAGCTCTTCAATTGGAAATTTATTTATTTTCACAAATCATCTTACATCACAAACAATTAATTTTGAAGACATATCCATACTTACCTATAATGATAATCGCAAAAGATCGTAAATATCCTAATCTGTGGGCCATGGTTATTTTTTTCGCCAACAAACACGGATTGCTCGAAATTTCAAAATCAACCGTGTGTTTTAACAGTCGTTATAAACTGTTAATTACATTGGAGGTATAAGGTTGTCCAACATCTACTATATAGCCCAATCCAGCACCACTTCTATCCTCTTCCCCACTTCAACAACTGTTGCTAAAGAAAGCAAGTTTATTGGACTCCTCCATTTCTTATCCTTGGGCAAAATATAGGGTTACGTCTAAAAAAATGGCAGAGGGCGCTACTTAAAATTCAGATTCAGATTTTTCAGAATTCTTTATTTCTTCCACAGATAGCATACAATCATAAGTACTGTAGAGGAGGATATAATAAGATCATGTGCTGCGCAGAGCACATATCTTTAAGCTAATAGCCCCCTTAACAAAAGAAAAAAAGAAAAAAAATCAAATAAACACATGAGAACCTTAGAATAAAAATACTGTAGTAATAATAATGCAGTATTTTAAATAGACCTAGTCAAATAATTATTAAATTAAGTAAATTTTGTTCGCAAACAAACTTTTTCAGTATATCTGATTCAACAAATAAAAAATACACAATCAGAAAACAGTTAGATAATTAGAAAATCATAAAATGGTATTACTCATCATATATCAGAGGTGTTTTAAAGGAGGATTTAAAGCTGGTGATGGATGGTTTGTTAATAAGTTCATGGGATATGTTTCCACAATTTGGGGCCTACTTTAAAAATCGAAAACCGTCGAAGTAGTGTATTGTAGTGTAATGTTGAATAAAAGTGGTTTGTAGAAAATCTTGTGGGATAATTGTGAACAGAAGAAATTGATATAAATAAGTAATTTAATTGAAAAGGTAAGGTTTGTTTAAATAATCTTAACATAAATATAGCTATTTAAAGTTTATTTAAATCATAATATTAAGAACTTTAAAGTTATAAAATAAACAGACATGTGCACAAATACGCAAAGCACGTTTTTGAAGGAGAAAGAGCTTGTCATGTTTCGTACTTTCAAAACTTAACCAAGGACCAATGATTCGATTTGTATTTACTGCCCATCCAATAGGCCTATTACCGTAGGAAAGGTACGGTAAAATAAGAGTGTTATATAAAATTAAAAGAATGTTGGACGGCGCAGATTATATTTATAATTATAATTATATTTGCTACACGATTAATATGGTGCTTCCACTTTAAATTTGAGCCTATTGTAATGCCTAAAAATTTAGTTTCTGTAACGTTAACGTGCGTAATTTTAGCATCATATGTATATGTCATATCTAGGTCATTAAATTTAGTAGATTTACATTTATTAAATATACTATACCGGTAATTTGTTTTAGAAATGTTTAAAGATAATTTATTTAATTTGAACCAGTCTGATACTCCAATTAATTCTTGATTCATTATTTGAAATAGTATATTTTTATTTTTTGTGCGAATAGGAAATATTTGTGTCACCTGCAAATAAAATAAAGTTAAATATAATAATAATAATAATATAAAACTTGAAATATCATTAAAATAATTTAGAAACAAAAGAAGTTCTAATGGAACCCTGAGGTAGGCTACACCACACATTATTGGTAATAAAGATGATTCAACATAATTAACAGAAGTAAGTTGTTGACGGTTAGACAATTAGCTTTCAATTAATTATGGAAGGCCTCTGATACCATGAAGTTCAAGCTTATGAATAAGAATATCGTGATCTATGGTATCAAAGGCCTTCGATAAATCAAGAAAAATTCCAAATGTTATTTCGTTTTTGCTTAAGGCACAAGTTTTTTGTTATAAATGTCAATTAATGCAAGGTCAGTAGAATATTGGCATTTAAATAAAAATGCTAAATTAAAAAGATTTATCAAAGTGTTTTAAATTAAAACTATCAATGAGTTCATATATACACGCATCATTGTTTTCAGGAAAGAATAAGTTACTATCTGCGTTGCTGTTATATAAATCAATATCAAAGTGGTTTAAATTGAGAGAGCTTATTTTTTCAATTATGATCTAGAAAAAATGTTTAATTTCATTTCATGAACAAATTCGGTGTCATCTAAAATATGATTAAAAGGAAAAATGATATTGGCACAGTTAGAGCATAGCAAGTTTTTTTTATTCATTAATACATTTCAAGTGTACTGTAATACTGCTAATACTGCAATATATACCGTACACGACGTTCAATCGATACATAACATAATAGGGCTGTCGGTGTTTTTTGTTTTGTTGTTGACAATCTTACATCTCAACCCTTACCATTGGTGAAAAAGAGGGATTCTTGAGAATAGAGCGCACCATTAAAGCATTACAACGGCAACGATGTTTTTAACATATTGGTAGCATGAGTGTAAATACATCAAAAAGAATTTTATTTATTATGTAATTGATATTGGTATGACGGATGATTTCAATTTTAGCCAGGGGTGGCGCCAGAATGTGCCCGACTGGCGGACCGAGCTCCCTGACTGGTTTTTTTTTTTTGGG